ACTAACTTCTGATGGGTTCCTTGTCACAAGACAGGCATCTGACCTCCAAGTGACCAAGGCAAGTTTATGGCAAGCACGTGTTCGGCTGTTATGGCTGCCAAAAGGGGAGCAGGTCCCTTCAAAAGAGACAAGATGAAGTGTACAGAAAAAAAATTCTCTGTACATCTTAATTCTGAAGATGTGCTTAATGCCAGGTGAGAAATAAAACAGAACTATGAAAAAAAAAAAACTTACGGGGTCAATATATGAATGTACATTGTGGGGAGCAGTGGCCAACTACAATGAGGAAGGCAGAGTGACAGATGACAGTATGACTACTTGGCTATGTATAAGGTCTTGGCTATATATAAGACCTAAATTACACCTGGAGCTAACAGAGAAATGTGGCTATTTTTTTTTTATTACACACAAGTTACAATAAAAATTGTAACTTCATCATGGCAAAGAGAAAAAAATTCCCCTATGAAATTCTTTCCATGCTTGACACAATTTTCCTAGCATAGTGAGGGCATTCCACAAGCATCTCTTGAAAGGCTCTGAATCATGCAGTCTTAACCACAGTTATGATCAAAGAGTGGCCCTCTAGTAAAGCTAGACCAGACACAAAAGTCTAAACTGAACCCTCCCATAGTTCAATTTCCCTGGAGTGATATTTTGCCTCAAGCCCTTCCTTCAGCCATTCCTCAAGTTCAGACAATGAGTCTTAGGCTGTCAAATAGCTTCTGATAACTCGGGGAAGAATAATGAACACTGAAATGCACAGAAGTCCTGTTTCTCTATCTTTCAAAGGAAAACATGATCTGCTGTCATCTTCACGTGAAAAAGACCTGCCAGCAATCCAGTACTCTACCTGTATTCAAACCAGATCACTGCATGGCCTCAGAATTCAGTTCTGTTTCTGCCTCCTCCTCATGAACTTCCCTAAGCTTTCAATATGGCACAATTTCAAAACTGTCTTCCCTGGAACTCTGCAGAGCAGCATCCGTGAACACACTTTTGCTGCTCTCAGAATTAGGACATCTAATGTGGCTTGAGACTGTGGCACTGCATTTTGTCTTTATTTGACTGGGATTATGAGGTTTTTGGAGAACAAGGAGTATGGTAATGAGCTTGTTAAATCTACAGTAAATGAAACTTTAACTCCAAGTACAAGTCATAGTATTTGCTGAACCATAGACATTAGCTTTCTGTAACCACATTCAGAGTTATTAATATTATATTGCCACTACTGTGGTTTTAGGATTACCGTTGAATGTAGTTTCACTGTGTGTGATGATGTAATTGCCGAAAAGTCATATGGTTGGTAATTACACAATACAGTGCATGGAACTGAGCTAATGGCCCGAAATCTATTTCTTGTTTGATTATTTTCTTCCTTTTTATTTATTCCACTACCTTATTTCAATTTTATTTTAAATACAGCAGGCAATATCGTATGTAAGCTCCTGCTAAGCCTCTGGTAAGTGAAAGAGTATGGGGATTCAGGTAAAAAATACAATTGGTTTTATTATTCTGAGTTATAACAGAAAATACAGTAAAGGTTGATCATACTGAGCCCTTGTCATTCTTCATCCCTCCTGCTGGTGAATCAGTAGCAACAACTCATACATACATACATACATACATACATACATACATACATAGCAGATGATATATAGATAGATAGATTGATAAATGATAGATAGATAGATAGACTGTTATTTGTCAGATGCTAAATACCATCTCATCATACATGTAAAAGTCAACTAGAAGTGAATTTTTATAATTTAGGAAAAGTTGTAATAGACAATCATTAATTACTGTTAGTCTTATACTTCACATATAAGTTAACATATATCTCTACACACTAAAAAGGATCATAGTTGTAAGAATCAGTGCAATGTTCCAATTTCTATTAGTACCAGTCTCTGCTATTTGTCAAGCAGTAAGTTAAATCTCTGAGTCAATCATCTATATTTGCATGCCAGAGGTTGAGTAGACACATAGGATTATAAATTAGACATCGTGGTACATACCTGTAATCCCAGAATTCAGGCAGCTGAGACAGGAGGGTCTTGAGTTTAAAATTAGTCTGTGCTATACTGTGAAAACAACAAAGTGGTATTTTCTCACAGCACTGTCGTCATACTAAATGAGTTTATGTCTATAGAGTGCTTAGAACATGATTGAGGGGTACACAGAAGCTCATCCAAGTATTGTTTGTTACTCACTGTAAACAATAGAAATAGTCTCTGGCTAACTTAGAAAAGGAATATACTGAAGGGAAATCACATAACTTGCCTAATTGGAAGCTGGGGCACATAAGACAAGCAGAGAAGAAACACACATAAGACAGAGACAAACAGATGTATACACACACATACATACAGGTAGGCCTTCACTTCAGCTAGTCCAGTCTCTACTACACACCATATTCTTGTAACCTAGAAGGGCAAGACAGTGCCCTTCAGTTTCTAAATAGGGCTCTGTCCTCCCAGCAAGGTCAGAATTATGGAGATCTTCCAAACCAGGAAGAGCTTTTGGTCACAGAGAGGACAAACACAAAGCCAAATCAAGTACCAGTCTGCCTTGTTGAGTTGCCTGAAAGAGAGTTTCCTTGGTTGTAGGACACAAAAGAAGAAAACCAAGAATGGATGAGATCAGAAAAACAAGGTCTTCCTACATCCTGGGAGCTCAGGCTGGAAGCACAGAAGAGTCAGAGGGAAGTCAGAGGCTGGTACTTAGCTAAAGCCACCAGTACAGCAAAAAGACAGCCAACCTGGAAAGCAGGAGAAGACAGCCCAGGAGCAGAGGCAAGAAGCCCCATCTCCACTAGAGGGTTGCTATAACCTTAAGACACAGTGAATATTTCTAATATCTTTGACTTGGGTGGGTTATATCTGTGGATTCCCATCATATTGGAAATTAAACTGAAAAATTAAATTATAGTAATTCATTTCAAAGAAACTCACTACATCTTAAGGTGAGGGGCAGGCTTTTAAATCTTGTGTATGTGTGTTATGTTATGTATATATGATGCTGTGTGTGTGTTCATGTTTCACTCATACACATGAGTGAAAGCATATATATGCCATAGCACACTTGTGAAGGCCAGAGGATAACTTCATGTGTCATTCCTCACCTCCCACTTTTTTTTGAGACGAAGTCTCTCTTGCTTACCCCTGCTTACAACAAACAAGCCTATGAACTTCCAGGGATTTTCCTGGCTCCACCTACTGTCTCCCTTCAGGAGTGATGGGAATGCAGACATGTGCTACTGTGTCCGGATTTTATGTGTGTTCTGGGAATCTGAACTCAGACTATCAGACTTCTGCAGCAAGAGCTTTAAGCGCAGAGCCCTCTTCTCAGAGTAGTGGCAGATTTTCATCGTGATCACTGTCCTCCCCAGACATACCAGGTGAGTGGCTGTAATGCAGACTTTTGGGAAACCTCACATCTGCCTCTGCGTGCAATGAGTTGTAATAACATAGCCCACATAGCTTCTAGAAAACTCCAAGTTTTTAGAGAACAAGTGACATGTAAAATAACATGTTGACATCATTATGAAAAGAATTTTGACCTTGCGGGCCCTTGAAAAGCTTACTGGGGTACTAATAGCATAGACCAAGGATATTATTAGCCTTTAGTGCTGAAAACACAAATACCAACTTTACAATGAGCTACAAATGACAAGCTATGATTTTAATTATAACAATATGCTCTCACCCTATATTTATATAACACTTTGTTGTTGACAAATAGCAGTTAAACATATATATCTTATTTGATTCTTGCCACTGTCCTATGAGACATTATTTCCATTTTTATAAGCAAGGACTCTAAAGTTCAGAAAGGTTAGTTAATGTACCTAGAGTCACATAGCTTTAAGTAGGGAGCTTACCCCTGTTCCCATAATTTCCCCATATTAAAAATCAGTTTTTCTCATCAGGAAGTATGGAAAATGCCTAACATTCTCTATCTGCCACCTAGGAATGCAAGATCCAGAGTTTGGCAGATGATTGACCTAAGATCCATAAACAGAAGCAAGGTGGGTCTAAATCTAGACTTTTGGGCTCCAGATAGGACACCAGGAACTAAGAAAATCTACTCAGAGTTGAAAACCCCCATATAACTCTTTTAATAAGACCAGGATTCTAAATCCATATAGCAGGTGAGTGGTTGCTTGGTAGACAGGGGATTACTCATTGCCCCTTAATCATTTCCACACATTGAGAGGTTTTAGGGACATCAACAACTGACTCAGAAGAAAACAATGAGTGAGAGCAGGGCCTCAGACCAGCTCCTGGGCAGCAGCTTGCTGTGATCTGGTCCCAGGGACCTTTGTGGATGAAGCCACATCCTTGGTGGGAGTGAGGTAGAAGGAGTAGAGAAAGGAGGGGCAGGGATGACTGAGCTTAACTTAAATGGCAAGGCCATCTTCCTACCCCAGCTTTTAACTAAGGTGGGACATCTCCAGAAGAGGCTGATCCAGGAGATAACAATATAGACCTGACTTCCTATCCTCTTTTCACTCTGCCATGTTGAGAATGGGAATTTCCCTAGTGGCTTCAAGATGGCTATTGAGTTCCAGGTGTCACATAGAGATTTGACTTTAAAAGAAAGGCTGCTTTTTCTAAGCTTCTTTAGAACAGAGGTCAAGCCTAAACACATCAATTTTTGTTTGTTTGTTTGTTTTTCGAGACAGGCTGTGTAGCTTTGGAGCCTGACCTAGAACTAGTTCTTGTAGACCAGACTGATCTGGAACTCACAGAGTTCTGCCTGCCTCTGCCTCCCAAGTGCCAGGATTAAAGGTATTTGCCACCACCAGCTGGCTCTACACATCAATTTTTTTAGAGTATAACATAATTATAACATTTCTCCCATCCCTTCCTTCCTTCCAACCCTCCCATGTACCCTTCCCACTCTCCTTCAAACTCATGGCACAATTATTATTGCATGAATATATGTAATATGTGTATATACATCCGCACACATGCACTGTGTATGCACATATTTGTATATACACATGTGTCTAAGTGTATTATACACATACATATTTACAGATATTCCTAAATATAACTCACTCAGTCCATATAATGTTACTTGTGAATACTTGTGAACACTAAAATGAAACTAAGATTTCATTTTAGTTTTCTGAAGTCCACCTGTAGACATTGTACATCTCACTACTCTCACCTCCACAAGAATAGTAAGGAGATGACTGACCCAAAGGTGAGTAGGCAACTACCATTTGCCCCTAGGAACAGTGACAGATCTAACATTTGCCCCTGGAAGCAGTGACAGATCTAACATTTGCCCCTGGAAGCAGTGATAGACCAGCTTTTTCTGAGTCATAAAACCAAGAGATCTGTGAAAACGAAGATGAGTGAAAGTAGTGGTTTATTTCTTAGACAGTTGTGGTCACCTAAGAAGTAGTCATTATATTTTTTAATTTAATATTTATTTTACATATTTCAGTTTTTGTTAGTGGAAGATATGGAGTTGACTGTAAGCAGTATCATATGATAAGAAAAAGTACCGAAACCTATATGAAAGCCATGCTTTGTAGATATAGTATTAATAAATGTACATGACTGGCTTGATATAATGGAGCTAAGTAATTGTTAATTTACTAAATGTAACATGTTAATTTTTTCAGTGTCTTCCATATAAACGTTGTCACTGAACAACACTCCAGAGTCCCATTAAAATCACTGGATGCAAGCAAATTCAATTAGTGTTCGCTTTCAAGGCTGAACATGCTATTCATATTAGGTCTGTAGATGTGGTAATGCAAGCATTAAGGAGTGCCCAAAAGCAATTTGGAGAATAAATGACCAGGGATGGGGAAACTACGAATGGAGAGAGAAATTAGATTAATTATTATGAAAGGAAAACCATCAAAACAAAGCTAATGGTAGCATCCTAGAGCCAGCCCCTCAGAGGACCATAAGCCACTCAGTTCCTTAAGTAGAAAAATAATCATCATCTTGTCTATAAATCAGCAGCAGCTCTAAGCAGCTTTCAGTAAAAGCCTCCTCATTCCTGGGG